TATTCATTTAATACCAATAGACTTATCCCAGTATCCAAAAGAAAGGAAACAATCTTACCAGATACTATCCCAATTACCCTGGGTTTCGTGGACTCACTAGATGTGGGGGCGAAGGATCCCAAGTACCCTCAGTCTTCCGTTGTCAGCACTAGCAGTGAAGAGATTTCCTCCTGTGATGGTTGGGGGGCTTCATTATGAGCAGCATCTGAATGGGGAAGATGTCCCTGTTGAGGGCATTCCATCGTCCAGTGTCCACAAAGACTGCAAGTTGGGCATGGTTTGGTGGGAGGCCAGGGGTTAGGACAAGCCTTTGCCCAGTGTCCAGGGTTGCCTCATTGAAAACAGACTCCTGGAGAGGTGGGGGAGTTTCCCTTTGGGTTATTAGGAGGCTTTTGTGTAATTGACTTTTGGACAGTGGAGGCAAGCATCTGGTATTTTAAATGGAGATGTTTGTCTTCTTGAATTTTTTGTTCCTCATGTCTGTTGTTAAAGACCCAGAAGGTTGCATTTAGGAGCTCCTGCCAAGATGTCTGAGGACCCTTCTCTAATTTTTGTAATTTTTTGTGGATATCTGGGGTGGATTGGGAAATAAATTGGAGGTAGAGAAAAGTTTGACCTTCTCTAGATTCTGGATCCAAATTGGTATATTTTAGCATAGCTTCAATGAGGTGTGATAAGAAAAGGGCAGGGTTTTCCTGGTGCTGTTGTGTAATTTCTCTGAGCTTTTCAGAATTAACTGCCTTATAAGCATTTTTGTCCATGCCTGTGAGGAGACAGGTAATCATGTGGTCTCTTTACCTGATGCCATTGTCTCCATGTTGGTAAGTCCAGTCTGGGCCTCTATAGGGGACTGCATCATTGGCCACTGGATTTTGTATAGGGGCTTGATTATGGAGTTCATCTGTGTGTGTTTCAGCTGACTGCCGGATGCGCTCTTTTTTGTCAGGGGTGAGGGTGGAGGTTAGAATTATATAAATGTCATGCCAAGTTAAATTAAAGGATTAGGTTATGTGCAGGAATTCCCTGTGATAGATTTTCAGAGAAAGATCCTAGACACTGTTCGATCTGTGACAAATCAGACGTGGAGAAAGGGGATATGAACACAAGCAATGCCTTCAACCCTAGCGCCTTCCCAGAGAGGGAGAATGGCAGAGGTGGTTTGACTGGCTGGAGTAGTGTTTGAATGGGTAATGGGTGGAGAACGATAAGGGCTGGGATTTGGCACTAAAGGCTGGGGGCAAGAGGGGCCAAAGAGATGGAGGGTTTGGATAGGCAAGAAATGGATGCAGGGGTTGAGAGTATGGAGGGAGTTCATCTGCAGGGTCAAAGGGGATTTCAGGGGAAGAGGTTTCAGAGGGAGGAGAGACCCAGGGAGGTTTTCATTAAGAAGAAGGATTTCACAAGGGGTGCAAGCTTGACATAAGGAGGTTTGGGATTTAAGGTAGAAGGAAACCTGAATATAGGGAACCTCTTGCCATTTGCCATTCCTGGTTATAAAGTTGTCAAGGTCCCTGAGAATTTGAAAGTCAAAGGTGTCGTTTTCAGGCCATCGGCTGTCATTATCTAATTTGTATTGGAGCGAGGCCATGTTGCAATGAAAAATTAAACACTTTGACTTTAGGTTCCCCCATAAGCCAAGTTTGGTGAGGTTGTGAAGGAGACAGTCCAGTGGGGAGGACATAGGAATGTGGAATTGTTTGGCACCCATGTGGACTGATAAGAGGAGGCCGAGAGTATCTGTTTTTGTTCTAGGCATCCCCAGACAAAAGACAGAGACCTGGAATCCTCTTTATAAAGAGGACGGTTAAGCTGAGAAGAAACTGAGCATCCCCAAGATTTCTTCAACTTAGTCTCACTGGTCCTCCAAGGACCAGGACGGCAGACCTGACTTTCCCAGGTACTGTGAGAAAGCTAGGAAAGGCAAATCTTACCAATTGGCTGGATTAGTGTCTGATGTTGGATGTTCTGGTTGGAATCAGTAAAGGGCCTCCTGGACTGGAGCTACATGAGGAAGAGAGAGAGAGAGAGAAGAGGGAGGAAGAATGGACAAGGGTTAGAGAGCAAAATACCTGTTGCAGGCAGTCAAGGTGGATTCCTGAGACCTGAGGGTTTTGAGAACCCACTGGAGAGTAGCCCCAGCCCAAGCCTCACAGTCCCCTTCAGATTAGTTATCCACCTCATGCAAATTGCTTGAAAAGTGAAGAGAGAGAAAAGACGTGACAGGTGGCCAGAGACCCTCAGGACCCAGGAGTTATCTTGGGACAAACTGACGCTGCCCACTGCTTCCTGGGTTGCAAGAGTTGAAGAAAGAAGAAGGAAACTTGAAAAGTGGCTGAACAGTCAAAGACAGGTTTATTTTAGAGAATAAACCTGAGAGGGGCTTCTGGATGATTTTGGTCAGGAACATTCTCTCTTACAGACTAAGGGTACTTAAGGATTTAGGGAGGGAGAGCTTATCACAGGTTCAGAATGTTTCTGGGTAGAGGAGAGTTTTATTGTGGGGTTGGAATGTCTGGTCAGAGGGGAGGTTATCTCAGGGTTGGCATGTCTCTGGTCGAAGGGGATTTATCTCAGGTTTGGAAGGTTTCTGGTCAGAGGTGTCATTTGTCGTTTATGGTCATGCTGACATTAGCCATTAGGCTGATGTTTTGGGGCTGGATTTAGGCAGTTTTTAATCAAGGGGAACTTAAAATAGCGGTGCTTGTCCAAGATGGCAATGCTCCTGTTCTGTCAAAGATGGAATTGTGAAATAGAATTTGTTTGAAGATACATTTGTTCATTCAACAGAAGTTTCTTGAGGGCCCATTATAAGGCTAAATTATATTTCCACCTGAACAGTTTAATTGACGTTGCACTATCTGGCCCACAGTGGATCATGGCTCTTGGAGAAGTAATATTTAGACAGATCCAAATTGAATGTGGTAATTGTAGATTTTTGTGATGCTTATGTGGACTTCTCTGACATCTGTATAAGTTATTAATATTGAAAACAAGTACTCCTATAAATCAGTGATTGAAAAAAATACTTCTGCAGGAATTAGAATTGATCCACTTGAATCTGTTTTCTACTTTCTAGCTCCATACCAGATTTCACTTGAAAAAAATGTCTGCTCTGCTATAGACAGTATGTTTGGATTTAAAATGAAATGTCTGAAACAATGGAGGTCTGTTTGCATCGGGGGGCATTGAATATAAAAGTTTAGAAAACAATACAGAATCAAATATTTATTAAGCACTCGATATAGAATTGGCACTGTGCTGGGCATCAGGTTTATGGTAGGAACAAATAAAATGGACCCTGTTGTCATGGAGTTTCATGGGGATGACCAACTTTAAATAAATAATTACATGAGTAGGCCAAGCACAGTGGCTCATGCCTGTAATCCCAGCACTTTGGGAGGCTGAGGTGGACGGGTCACTTGAGGTTAGGAGTTTGAGACCAGCCTGGCCAACATGGTGAAACCCCGTCTCTACTAAAAATACAAAAATTAGCAGATGTTGTGGCACACACCTGTAGTCTCAGCTACTTTGGAGGCTGAGGCAGGAGAATTGCTTGAATCCAGAGGGCAGAGATTGCAATAAACGGAGATCGCACCACTGTATTCCAGCCTGGGTGACAGAGCAAGATCCTGTTTCAAAAAAAGAAAAAAAAAATCTGCAGGAACAAACTATGGTCAGAGCTGTGAAGGGAAAGCAATGGCATGGAGAGAAATGAAAGCAGGGGTGAGGCGAGGTTTCTCTGGGGTCACAATTGTGGGGAGGCCTAAAGGATGAGTGGGCACAGAGCAGTGGGTGCTAGGTGGAAGGAAGGACATGTGAGAAGGTGAAAGTGGAAAAGGTGATGTCAAAGTTCGAGAACAGTCAGAAGAGCATGTGCTTTGAGTGCAATGAGCAGGGGCACAGTGCCTTGAGATGAGGGTGCTGAGGAGACAGGGTCCTCCTCATCTGGCACCTTATAGCCCGTTTAAGGGCTTTTTGTTTTTGTCAAATGCAAAGGTTGGCTATTGGAGAGTTTCGGCAACAGAGAGACATAGCTAGACTCAGTTTTCATCCCTCTGGTTGCTGTGTGGGTCATAGATTGGAGTAGGGGAAGAGAGGAAGTGGGGATCCAGTTAACAAGCTACTGCCATGGCCTAGTGGAAGCATGGACTGGGGTGAAGATGTTGGAGGCAGAGGAAAGTGGGCAGATACCAGCAATGTGTTTTGGAGGTAGAATTGACAGGTCTTAATTATGGAACGCGAAGCTTGAGGGAGAAGGGAAAACCAAGTAGAAACCTAGGCAGGCTTAGAGCATATGCCCATTTCTCTTATAACAGCTTGATGATGTTAGCTGTGGAGCACCATATAGCAATTCCTTTGAACATTTTGTGTTTGTGATAGGATTTTTATCATGGCTTTTTTTTTCTGTTTTTTTGTTGTTGTTGTTGTTGTTGTTTTGTTTTGTTTTTGTTTTTTTTTGAGAAGGAGTTTCGCTCTTGTCGCCTAGGCTAGAGCACAGAAGTGTGATCTTGGCTCACTGCAACCTCTACCTCCCAGGTTTGAGCGATTCTCCTGCCTCAGCCTCCTGAGTAGCTGGGATTACAGGTGCTTGCCACCACACCTGGCTAATTTTTGTATATTTAGTAGAGACGGGGTTTCACCATGTTGGCCAGGCTGGTCTTGAACTCCTGACTTCAGGTGATCCACCCGCCTTGGCCTACCAAAGTGCTGGGATTACAGGCATGAGCCAATGTACCCGGCCTTATCATGGCTTTTGAAAAGCCAGGAGTTCACTGTGACTGCCAGGGGAGATATGCTGTGTTGGACTCGCCCTGGGAGGAGTGAGAGGACTACTCTTTGTGAGTCAAGAGTTTCTGCCAAGTGGATCTTTCTTATTCAGAAGGAGAGAGTCATAGTTGTTATACTGTCCGTTTCACAAGTGACATTAAAGGGAAAGGAGTGGGGAGGCGAGGAAGGGCTGAGCATAAAATGTCAAAATAACCGTGGTTTTTATCTTTAAGGTTTAGCACGGATTTTAAAGAAATAGAATTCATTAGCGTGGGTGGATTTGGCCAAGTTTTCAAAGCAAAACACAGAATTGACGGAAAGACTTACGTTATTAAACGTGTTAAATATAATAGCAAGTAAGTAGTAAATGTTTAAATTTTTTGAATGGCAAGATATGCTGAATCTGCACTATTTCTTTTTATGCTTCTCTCTTCTTTATTAGGATATCATTTATTTCTTTCTCATACTCATTAAACATTTCATTCTACCAAGAGGAGTTTGGCTTACTCCAAGATGATATCACTTTACTGTGGTTATTTCAATAAAAATGGTATACCATTGATCATCCTTTCGGTGCTATCTTCAGAACTAAAGCTGTAGAGTCATTTGCTTTAAAGTGGCATGCAAATTCATGAAACGCGCCATATTTTAAAAACTGTGGCACCAAATAGAACCTTCATTACCCACAAAAAAAGGTGATCTTTGAGATGTTCTAGTCTTACCTCCCTATTTTACAGGTGAGGAGACTAAGATCCAGAGATGTAAAGTGATTTTGTCTAAGATAAAAGCTAGATGGTAATTGTTCTCTGGTTGTCTGTTATTGTATAAGGCACTGCTCCAAAATGCAGTGGCTTAAAAACAGCAATTTATTGTTATCTCTGATGGTTTCATGGGTTGATTGTGCTCATCTGGACAATTCTCACTTGGGGTCTCAGAGGCATTTGCAGTCAGTAGTCAACTGAAACCTTGACTACAGCCTATCCTAGGCTGGATATCCAAGCTAGCTAGCAGTTGACACTGGCTGTGGGCTGGAAGTTCAGATGGGACTGTGAACCAGAATACCTCCACATGCCCTCTCTGTGGGGACTGGGCTTCTTACAACTTAGTGGCTGAGTTCCAAGAACTATTGTCCCCAGAACAAGTCATCCAAGAGACCAGGAGTGAATGGCAAGGCTTCTTTTGACCTAGTCAGAAGAGTTCCAGAACATCACTACCATTAAGTTATATTGGTTAAACAAGTCACTGGAGCCAGCTTAGATTCAAGGTGGGGGAGGTGGCAAATAGGCTCTACCCATTAATTTAAGGAGTGGAAGCATGTATGGGAGGATAAATAATTGATCAAGATTATCTTTGGACATGATCTCCTATGTAATCAGATTGGGATTTAGAACTCATCCCCTGGAATGACAATTCAATGTGTTCCCACTGTAACCCACTGCTTCCAACATTTGTTTTCTGTATTATCTGCCCTCTCACTCCCACTGGATAGCAGAACTCCTTCAGGAAGGAAAACAAATAGAAAGGAGGTCTTAAATCACATGGTCACCAATTCACCAATCTTGCTTGTTGCACTCTGGCAATTGTTACTATGTGTAGCTTGGCCAGACCAATCTGATCCCTCAAAGACTAGCAAAGGAGATGGGAAAGGGATCTGGGCTAAGAAAAATGATATGTGCAAAGGAGAAGTAGGTGTGGAGTGCTGGATGTTCTTAGCCTAGTTAAACAAACCTATTTCTTCTCTCATGGACGATGCCTTGCATTTGAAGTAGGATCATTCCTACTATGTTCATTGTTTTATTTAACAAGAATGAAGGACAGCTGTACTGTTATTCTTTCCATTAGATAGCAATTTTTAAAAATGGTAATAATATCCCAGCTACTTGGGAGACTGAGGTGGGAAGATTGCTTGAGGCCAGGAATTTGAGACCAGCCTGAGCCACATAGTGAGACCCAGTGTCAAAAAAGAAAAGAAAAAACAATGAGGGCTGGGCATGGTGGCTCACACCTGTAATCCCAGCACTTTGGGAGGCTAAGGTGGGCAGATTACTTGTGGTCAGGAGTGTAAGACCAGTCTGGCCAACATGGTGAAACCCTGTCTCTACAAAAATACAAAAATTAGCCAGGCGTGGTGCCACACACCTGTAATCCCAGCTGCTTGGGAGGCTAAGGCAGGAGAATTGCTTGAACCCGGGAGGTGGAGCTTGCAGTGAGCTGAGATCACACCACTGCACTCCCGCATGGGCAACAGAGTGAGATTCCATCTCAAAAAAAAAAAAAACAGATAATTATGTTGATGAAGGGCCAGTATCTTGGCCATTTCTAGTAGTTTATACATTGGTACAACTACTAGAAATATATATATATATATATATATATATATATATATTTTTTTTTTTTTTTTTTTTTTTTTTTTTGAGGCAGAGTCTCACTCTGTCGCCCAGGCTAGAGTACAGTGGTGCATTCTCGGCTCACTGCAACCTCTGTCTCCCGGGTTCAAGCAATTCTTTGCCTCAGCCTCCCAAGTAGCTGGGATTACAGGTGCCCAGCACCATGCCTGGCTAATTTTTGTGTTTTTAGTAGAGACAGGGTATCGCCATGTTGGCCAGATGGTCTCGACCTCTTAACCTTGTGATCTGCCTGCCTTGGACTCCCAAAATGCTGGGATTACAGGCGTGAGCCACCACACCTGGCCCAGCCAGTTATTTTTAATGGCTGCAAAATAGCCATTGATCAGGGGACAGAAAAAAATATATTTACTCATTTCTTTACTGCCGAATATTTTGTTTGTTCTAATTTTTCATTGTTAATTGAATGACACCATGATTTATATCTTCTTGGATATAAATCCATAATTTGAGTAACATTCTTTTTTTTTTTTTTCTTTTTTTGGAGATAGAGTCTCACTCTGTCACCCAGGCTGTAGTGCAGTGGTGTGTTCATGGCTGGGCGCAGTGGCTCATGCCTGTAATCCCAGCACTTTGAGAGGCCAAGGCTGGCAGATCACTTGAGGTCAGGAGTACAAGACCAACCTGGGCAACATGGCAAAACCCTGTCTCTACAAAAAAAATATAAAAACTAGCCAAGTGTGGTGGTGTGTGCCTGTGGTCGTAGCTACTTGGGAGACTGAGGTGGGAGGATCGCTTGAGCCATAGGGGTGCAGGTTGCAATGAGCCAGGATCACCACTGCACTCCAGCCTGGGTGACAGAGTGAGACCCTGTCTTAAAAAAAAAAAAAAAAAAAGAAAGAATCTAAAATAATAACAGATTATTTTAGGATTGTCAAAGTATCAGTATTTTTTTTTTATTTTTGCAAATTTTATGTCATATAGTTTAGAACTTCTTGTGTTAAAAAATAAAATTGTAAAATGTTTGATTATCCTTCCTCGTCTTTGAAATCTCCAATTTATTTACTGCATTTAGCATGAAATTGTCTTAGGTCTTGGCAACACATCCCTATAAAGCCTCCCACCATCTCACTTTCTCTGCATAAGTTATCCTCTTTGTGTATATTTGCCACACATTGAAAATCCTGAATTAGGTACTTCACGCTGCCTGTGTTACTTAGCCTTGCTGCCTCAACGTGATTTGCTTGTGAAATCCAAAGATTTTAACACAAGTCTAAGCAAAACATAATGTATGATTTAGCTATGAAAAATTGCATCAGCTGGGTCCAGTGGCTCATGCTTGCAATCCCAGCACTTTGGGAGGCTGAGGCGAGTGGATTGCTGGAGCCCAGGAGTTTGAGACCAGCATGGGCAGCATGGCAAAACCCCATCTCTACAGAAAATAGAAAAAATTAGATGGGTCTGGTGGTGTGCTTCTGTGGTCCCAGCTACTCAGGAGACTGAGGTGGGAGGACTGCTTGAGGATAAGAGGCTGAGGCTGCAATGAGCCAAGGTCGTGCCACTGCACTCCAACGTGGGTGACAGAGCAAGACCCCATCTCAATAAAATTAATTAATTAATTAATTAAAATGGCATCACTGGCATTTCAAGAGTGCTAAAGAAGATTTTTAAATTCTCTGATGTTTGGCATTAAGTCGCTGCCTTTTATTTATTTATTTTGAGACACAGTCTTGCTCTGTCACCCAGGTTGGAGTGCAGTGGTGTGATCTTGACTCACTGCAACCTCCGCCTCCCGGGTTCAAGCGATTCTTCTGCCTCAGCCTCCCAAGCTGGGATTACAGACGTGCACCACTGTGCCCAGCTAATTTTTTTGTATTTTTAATAGAGATGGGTTTCACCATGTTGGTCAGGCTGATCTTGAACTCCTGACCTCGTGATCCACCCACCTTGGCCTCCCAAAGTGCTGGGATTACAGGCATGAACCACTGTGCCCAGATGCTGCCTTTTAGTTTATCTTGAGAGTGAGAACAGCTATGTTTTTTTTTGCAGTATGTTCACTTTTTCCTTTTGAATGTCCTGGCTTCCATTCTAAAACTGTGTGAGAACCACAGCAATGGTTTAATAAAGGAATGTAGACGGTTGTCTGTTACATGAGGTGTTTTGTGGTTGTTATGTGGGATGTACACTGACACTGCCATGTTCCCTGTTCCTTTTAACTAGGAAGGCAGAGCGTGAAGTAAAAGCATTGGCAAAACTTGATCATGTAAATATTGTTCACTACAATGGCTGTTGGGATGGACTTGATTATGATCCTGAGATCAGTGCTTATGAGCCTGAGAGCACTGATTTTGATCCTGAGAACCAAAAAAATAGTTTAAGGTAACTAAAAACAAATTCTCATAGCCATAATAGGATGGAAGGAAATTGTTATTTACTATGTGTGGGCCACTGGATAAGGCCATTAATTATCACAATTAATGATCGCAATTCCCTCTGAGAGACACTGTTATCTCTCCGTTCCACAGGTAAGGACAAAGTGAAAACCTCTTTCTTGTTCCTCCTCTTGCTGCACACTTGCTCTCATAACCCTTTGTTACATCCTCACCTGTCTTCAAAATCTCAGGTTCAGCTTTCCTGACTCCATTGTTTAATGGAGAGCCTTGTTCACGTGCCAGCTTCAGTGCAGGCTGTAGTGTAGTCTTGTGAAGAGAGTTTTAACATATAGATGCTGCATCTGGGGGCTCCTTCCTCAGCTACCACACTTTTCTGTCCTTTCTTAGGCTGTGATTGGTGTGGTGCAGTGAAAGGTTCTCTTTGGAATGTAACTATACCACTTATGCTGGGGCGGGGGGGTGGGCAGTGAAAATATTTTTAAGACCACAAAGTGAGATGGGGGCACCCTCATGTTTCATGTCAGTTAAGCCACTGCCAAACAACTGGAGATCCTAAAGAGCTGGCGTCTGTCTTTGAAAGTCACCCAAACTATTCTGGGAACAGTCCTCTCACTAAAATCCTGAGGCCAATGGGGTCCTGTTCATTCATTTTCTCCTGGCCCACCTCCATCTCCATGTCGTGTAACTGAGAACTTTACCATCAGTTCAGGAGTTACTGACCATCAGCCTACAGGACTTTAGTTTTCAGCAAATTCTTGGCTACCTCTTCCTGTTTTCAAGCCAACGTATATACAAAGAATATAAATGAATATTGAGGCTAACTTAATTCAGAAAAAAAAAAAAAACATGGTTAGCAAAAAAAAAAAAAGAAAGAAATCAATCCTCCAATTTATATCTCTTAGTAATTTGTTGGCACTTCTCCTAGAGTAGTACCTTTCCTATTGTTTTAGGTTTGCTTTCTCTTTACTCTGTCCTATTAAACTATTATCCCCATGATGGCAAGGATAGTGTCTAACTCATTTTCTCATCTCTAGGTGCTTTTCATGATCAGTAGATGGAGGGTGAATTAAAAGGTTTCAAAATTACTTTATATAATAATGAAATTTAGTTTCCTGCAACTCTATTGTATTCGTGTTCCTATTTCTATCTGTTAGCAAAGGTGATTGCAGATCTTCAGCAATAAAGAATGGGTGGCTCGAATGCAGTGGCGAAATCTTGGTTCACTGCAAGCTCCGCCTCCTGGGTTCACGCCATTCTCCTGCCTCAGCCTCCCGAGTAGCTGGGACTACAGGCGCCCGCCACTACACCGGGCTAATTTTTTGTATTTTTTAGTAGAGACGGGGTTTCACCGTGTTAACCAGGATGGTCTCGATCTCCTGACCTCATGATCCACCAGCCTCGGCCTCCCAAAGTGCTGGGATTACAGGCATGAACCACTGTGCCCGGCATCTTCTTTTTTCTTTTTGAGACAGAGTCTTACTCTGTCGCTCATGCCAGAGCTCAATGGCGCGATCTCAGCTCACTGCAACCTCTGCCTTCTGGGTTCAAATGACTCTTGTGCCTCATCCTCCTGAGTAGCTGAGACTACAGGTGCCATGCTACCACACCCAGCTAATTTTTGTATTTTTAGTAGAGATGGGGTTTTGCTCTGCTGCCCAGGCTGATCTCAAACTCCTGAGCTCAAGCAATCCACCAGTCTCGGCCTCCCAAAGTGCTAGGATTATAGGTGTGAGCCACCGTGCCCGGCCCGGCTCATATTTTATAAATTAGCTAAACAAATAAAGCTCTGGACATCTGGGAACTTATGATTGAAATAAGAAATGGCCTATTATATTTTGATTCAAATTTGTTTATTGTATTTAGATTTCTATTTTGAGACATGTTTTGGGGTTCTTAAGATAAGGTATAAGCTTTTAAAAAGTTATGTATTTTTTATAAATTTATATTTATTGTTACTTTTAACATACTAGGAATTTTATACCCAGATCAAAGACTAAGTGCCTTTTCATCCAAATGGAATTCTGTGAAGACGGGACATTGGAGGACTGGCTTGATCGTAGAAAAGGCAAGGAACTAGACAAAGTTTTGGCTTTGGAACTCTTTGAACAAATAACAAAAGGGTTGGATTATATACATTCAAAAAATATAATTCATAGAGATCTTAAGGTAAGTGGAAAAATGTACTTTATTAATTGATACATATATATATATATAAAATTTAGTAATTTTAAAATATATCTTCTCAGCAGGGCACAGTGACTCACGCCTGTAATCCCAGCACTTTGGGAGGCTGAGGCAGGCAGATTACCTGAGGTCATGAATTTGAAACCAGCCTAGCCAACATGGTGAAACTCTGTCTCTACTAAAAATACAAAAATTAGCTGGGCATGATGGTGTGCACCTGTAATCCCAGCTACTCGGGAGGCTGAGGCAGGAGAATCACTTGAACCTGGGAGGGGAGGTTGCAGTGAGCCAAGATTGCTCCACCGCACTCCAGCCTAAGTGAAGAGTAAGACTTGTCTCAAAAAAAAAAAATAAATAAATAAATAAATAAATAAATAAATATGTGTGTGTGTGTGTGTATACACACACATATATATATACACACACACACATATATATACACACACATATATATATACACACACACACACATAAAATAAGATAGATATATTTTTTCTCTAGTTTTAGAATAGTGGTTGGTTGGTAGTTACGAGAAAATGATATCTGAACATTTGCATGCAAATGATTACTGTGACTGGCACAGCCAACTGACTGCTCTGTCCCTGCTCCTCCTGCCTCCTCTAAGTGACTCAGGCTTATTCGAGAGGCAGAGGGGACTCTGCTGACTGTGGCTTTAGGACTATGATTCCCTAATCTCTCAGTCATTACTCTTGAGGGCTGTCACAGCTACTGGGTCCAGAGTCTAATACTGTCTTGGTTAAACATTTCGACCCCATGATTGGAAAGTTGCAGTAATTCCAGACTGGGAAAGTGTATCATCCCTTAGTATTTTCATTTTCCTCTGGCTTTTATGGTCTGGACAAGGAGTTTCCCTATTTTTACTTCTCATCAAAATGACAGAAGGTAAGAGGCAGAGCAGCCCTTCACAGCCTTTCTTCCATTCCCTATTCCTTGTGACTTGCCTAGCCTGTCACAAGCTGGCCATCCTGAATCCTGTCCCTGGACCTTTGCTCATGCTCTTCTCTCTTATGGAATATACACTTCTGCCTGTCCCCTTTGCTTATAATTCCTTTACTGAGCCTTTCCTGATCACTCTGGAACTGCCTTTTCCTGTTCTAGGCAGAAGTACCTCATTTATGTGACTAACTGCTTACCCCACCCCTCTAAAACAGCCAGGAATAAGGAATGAAACAAAAAATTCCTTGAGAGAAATAAGTGCCCATATATACAGTTGTTATTGGGCTCAGATAGGAATGAGTAGTCCTTAAAAGGTATTACTTCCGTGGTCTGCCCAGGGGCTGGATGTCTGATGCATTGGTGTTTTGAGTCTGCCTGGTTCCAGTATGTCTATTCTACAATACCTGAAGTTATTATTTGAAGTTGGAGCATTGTCAGGACTATTTAAAAAGGATAAATGTAGAGTTGGTCATGCTTTCACTTTGGGATAAATCATACATATAGTTAAATAACAAATAAGCACAATTATTTCTATATACAATAATTTGCAAATAAATGCAGAAGTGTAGGCATTAAGTTCCTTGTCCTCAGAATGAATTAGCAAAATTCTGACTGGCGCCTACCCACTTACCTACCAATTATGCCCTGCACTGTATGTACCCTGTGTCATGGACTGATCTTTTCTTGTGTATATTTGCAGAGAATTTTTGCTCTTGCTGCGGTTGCTCAAGGGTCAGACTTTATTATTATTCTTAAATTTTTAATTTTTTTTTTTTTTTTTTTTGACACAAGGTCTTGCTCTTTTGCCCAGGCTAGAGTGCAGTGGCACGATCACGGCTCGTTATAGCCTTGACCTCCTGGACTCAAACAGTCCTCCCACCTCAACCTCTTGAGTAGCTGGGACCACAAGTGTGCACCACCACACCTGGCTAATTTTTTTGTGTTTTTGTAGAGACAGGGTCTCACCATGTTGCCGAGGCCAGTCTCAAACTTTTAGACTCAAAGCGATCGTCCTGCCTCAGCCTCCGAAAGTGCTGGCTTTCCAGGTGTGCTCCACTGCACCCGGCCTGAAGCTTTGATATTGAGACTTCTTTCATCTTCTATAACTTTTCTAGCTCTCACTACTACAGTTGTTGATTTATCTCCTTTAAGAAAAGATACAATGAAGATGTACACCTTTTGGGTTATTCTTTGCAAAACAGTAGCTGTAGGTAGTTTTGCCAGGAAATGGTCTTTACCCAATGCGGCCCCTCTTACAAAAGTCTCCAAGTGTTTAACCACTTTCTGTTGGAATCTTAGGAACTAGACCAAAGGCACTGAGAAGGGACATAGGGGTTTCTGGAGTGAGGACTTCTTATCCAAGGCTGCTTCTCTCTAAAATGTTCAGTCTCCTAAAGCCCAGGCTCTGGTCATCTTCAGCCTGAGCATCAGCCTGTTCCTGTGCCTCCTATGTGAAGTTTGTACCCCTTTTTATGCTCTACAACCCTATATTTTGTCTAGTCATATTATAACTGATTAGACAAAATGTGACATTATTGTTTTTATTTATTTTGTTTTTTTGTTTTTTTGAGACAAGGTCTTGCTCTGTTTGTTGCCTAGGCAGGAGTGCAGTTGCATGATCTCAGCTCGCTGCAGCCTCAACCTCCTAGGCTCAAGCAATCCTCCAACCTCAGCCCCCCACATAGCTGGGACTACAGGCACAGGCTACCAAGCCGGGCTATTTTTTGATATTTTGTAGAGACAGGATTTCGCCATGTTGCCCAGGCAAGTCTTGAACTCCTGAGCTCAAGTGATCTGCCAACCTTGGCCTCCCAAAGTGTTGGGATTGTAGACATGAGTGGCAGTGGAGTGATCTCAGCTCACTGCAACTTCTGTCTCCCGGGTTCAAGCAATTCTCCTGCCTCAGCCTCCCGAGTAGCTGGGATTCCAGGCCACCACACCTGGCTAAGTTTTTGTATTTTTAGTAGAGACAGAGTTTCACCATGTTGGCAAGGTTGGCCTTGAACTTCCGGGCTCATGCGATCTGCCCGCTTCAGCCTCCCAAAGTGCTGGGATTACAAGCATGAGTCACTTCGCCTGGCCTACTTTTTCTTTTTAATGAACTATAAAAAGTGATCTGATATTTTTACTAGATAGCCTCATCCAGCTTAGATATTTACATGGCTTCATACATTCAATTTTCTCTTTCTTAGAGTCAGGTGATAGCCTTATGTGGGACTAGCAGTTCCACTTGCAATCCCAGCATATTCTTACACTGCAACTTGAACATAGCATAGGAATATTTTCTCTCCACATCCACCTCACATCTGTCTACAGCTTTCCATCTGTATTATTGGTGTTAGGCTCCAATCAGACTGTTAATTGAATTCTAATCCAACTGCTAATTGCTGCATGAGCCATCATCTCAGGCTGGCTTCTCAGAAGCTCCTCCTTCAGCCTTCCCTGGGCTTGTGGTCTCTTCCCTCTCAGGTACTTACTAGGTAGACCCTCTCATAAGTGCATTATCCCATAGAGTCTGTGTGTATAGCCTAACATTGTACTAAAAGTCCAGCCTTTTCAAAAATAGCAAAATATTGATTTTCTCATCAACTACCTTCCTGTTTTTATGGTCTTTAGAATATTGGTCAGTATACTGGGTGTGGTGGCCTGTGGTCCCAGCTACTTGGGAGGCTGAGGTGGGAGGATCGCTTGAGCCGAGGAAGTTGAGGCTGCAGTGAGCCATGATCATGCCACTGCAATCCATCCTGGATGACAAAATGAGACCCCATCTCAAAAACAAACAAAAAGAATATTGGTCAGTACCTCCTATGACCTGGGCATGGTAGCTCATGCCTATAATCTTAGTACTTTGGGAGGCCGAGGTGAGCGGATTACTTGAGGTCAGGAGTTTGAGACCAGCCTGGCCAACATGGCAAAAACCCATCTCTACTAAAAATACAAAAAAATTAGCCAAGCATTGTGGCACATGCCTGTAATCCCAACTCCTCGAGAGGCTGAGGCGGGAGAACTGCTTGCACCCAGGAAGCAGAGGTTGTGGTGAGCCGAGATCATGCCGCTGCACTCCAGCCTGGGCAACAGAGTGAGACTCCATCTTACAAAACCAAACAAAACCCCTCCTGTAAAGCCGTGGAGTCAGAATGACCACTTCTATTCTGTTCTTCCTTTAAAAAACAAAAAATCTGCTTAAAGAATTGCATGGATAAAAATATTTCAGAGCTAGTTATTAGCTTCCAATAAACTTGGTATGCCTTCACGGTAGAAGGGATATGTTTGTTAAGAAGTTGTCAGAGGCTTGGAGAAAAGACCCCCAGAAGAAATTCTGCACAGGTTAATTCTGCAGTATTGTTGGGAATAGAACCATTCCGAGAATCTCAAAGTTGGAAGGGGTCTTAAGGATGTCTACTTCAGTCCCTATCAGATCGTGGACTCATATTTGCAACATTTCCTCTAGTGGTTGTTCAGCCCTATCTTGGGATGGGGAACCGTCTAACTCCCATTCTTTGGACAACACTATTAGGATATTAGGATATTTTAAAGCTAATCTTTAGGTTATTTCCACCCTATAGTCCTGGATCTTTTCCCTTGGACCATGCAGAGTGAATCCATCTTTCTATGTATAATGAAGACATGTGGTAATAGTATGTCAAGTTGGTACATGTAAGTTAAATTTTTTTTTTTCATAGCCAAGTAATATATTCTTAGTAGATACAAAACAAATAAAGATTGGAGACTTCGGACTTGCAACATCTCTGAAAAATGATGTAAAGCGAACAAGCAATACGGGAACTTTGCGATACATGAGCCCAGAACAGGTAAGTCTCTTTCCTGTCTCTCTATATTTTACTTATTTTATTTTAAAAATTATAAAAAGAGTAGACACTTCTTATATAATTAAAACAGTCCAGAAGTATATACTGAAAATTTCCCTCACCATTCTCTTCCACCCTTATCCTTCTCATCAGTTTATTCTTTATCCTTTTAGATAATTTTTTGAGTTATAAAAACATACAAACACAAATATACACCCAGACTTCTTTTTTACATAAACATTTATGTGCATACATTTTTTCAAGGACTTATTTTGTTATTTTGTGACTATATAGCATAATCTCTCCATATTAGTTCAAATAGATCTGCCACATTCTTTTCTTAGCAACTGTATTGTATTTCAAAATATAGAGATACCATAATTTAACTCTTTTTAAAATTTAATCGTATTTTTTTTGTTCTTATTTTGTTTTAGAGACAAGGTCTTGCTCTGTCACCCAGGCTGGAGTGCAGTGGTATGATCATTGCTCACTGTAGTCTCAAAATCCTGGGCTCAAGCAATCATCCCACCTCAGCCTCCTGAGTAGCTAGGACTAGAGGTGCATACCACTGTGCCCAGCTAATTATTTTTATTTTAATTTTTATTATTTATTTATTGTAGTGACAAGGTATCACTATGTTTTCCAGATTGTATTTCACTATCATCGAAGGGTATTTATTTAGGTTGTTTACAACTTCATAAACTTATAGACATTCCTCCTTATTTTGGATCCCAAGAACAAATAATTCTATGATAATCTGTGATAGATTTCTTGAGGTAAAGTGATTGAATAGATTGACAACTGCATTTCAAACTTAATTGCTGTTTAATTGTCATTCCAAAAATAGTGATTCTATTAATACTCTCCCCTCAAAATGTATGAGATTGCTGCATCATCATACTCTCCAGTGGTCAGTTTTGGGCAGTATGTTGAATTAGGAGTATCTTGCTCTTTTAGTTTGTATTTTCCAGATTTTTAGTAAGGTATGCCCTCTTTTTGTATATTTACTTATACATTTTCTGCAAATTCTCTACTCCTATCCTTTCCCAATTTCTCATAATTGAGTTGTCTTTTTCTCATGTATCGGTAAGGAATCTTGATATATATTGGGTGTTGATTCCTTATCTGTTAACTATATTATAGAATTTTTCTCCTTGATTGTTACTTCTTGTTTATAACGCCATTTTTTTTTTTTTTTTTTTTTGAGACGGAGTTTTGCTCTATGATGTCACCAAGGCTGGAGTGCAATGGCATGATCTCAGCTCACGGCAACTTCTGCCTTCCGGGTTCAAGCAATTCTCCTGCCTCAGTCTCCCAAGTAGCTTGAATTATAGGCACCCACCACCATGCCCAGCTAAGTTTTGTATTTTTAGTGAAAACGGGTTTCACTATGCTGGCCAGGCTGGTCTCGAACTCCTGACCTCAGGTGATCCACCTGCCTCGGCCTCCCAAAGTGCTGGAATTACAGACATGAGCCACCAAACCCGGCACTGCAGCTTTTAAATTGTCATATTTATCAATACTTTCTTTACTGCTGTAAGGTTTCTCATTTTTATTTTGGAGGCTTCTACTACAAGATTATGAAAATATTTTTTGGTTTTACTAACATAAAAATTAACTGCAATTTGAATTAACTTTTGTGTATGTATGAGAAAGGAATATAACTTGATTTTCCCCCTGTGAATATACTGTTGCTTCATCACTATGTGTTAAGTAGTCCATTATTTAAATGCTATTTTAAGGAAAATTTATAGAGACAGAAAGTGGAACAGAGGTTATCTGGAGGAAGGGAAGAATGGGAACTTCTTGTTTAATGAGTATAACTTCTGTTTGGGATGATGAAAAGCTCTGGAAATAGATAGTGGTGATGGTTATACAACATTGTGAAGGTAGTTAATGCCACTGAATTGTAGGCATAAAAATGGTTAAAAGGGTGAATTTTATGTTATGTCTATTTTACCACAATATTATTTTACGATATATAAAATTCCCACACATTCAGAGATGTGTTTCTGGACTTTGTTCTGTTTCACTGATTTATTTTTTATTTCTCTTTTTAATATTATGCTATTTAGATTATTATAGCATTATAAACTAGGCTTTAGTATTCAAACAGCAGAACCTGCCACATTATTCTTCAATTTAAAAATGCTCTTAGCTGTTCACATTTACAATTCCAAATGAACTCTTGAATCACCTTGTCATCTTCCGTAACTGGTTTTGAGGTTTTGATAGCAATTGCATCAGATTTGAGGATTCAGGTGAGGAACACTGATATCCTTATATATTTGAGACTTCTCCAAAATTGGTATTTTTCCCTCACTTATTCAAGTCATCCATCAGTCAGCTTTTGCCAGACTATGCTGTGGTAACAAATGACCCCAGTTTCTTAGTGGGGCAGAAAATACCAAGGGTCTATTTCTTGCTCACATGACAAGTCGGCAGCAGTCTGTCTGGCTTCAGTTTTGCTCTGCGTGTCTCCTTCATTCCAAGATCCAGGCTGAAGGAAAAATGCTATCTGAGTCACTGCCATCCTCAAGGCAGAAGGCAATGGCAGAACCTTGTGATGGCTTTTACATGTTCTGCTCAGCGGTGTCATACATCACTAAACATCATTACCGAGAGCAAAAAGCATGGCCCAGCTCAAGGCAATGAGTGTGGGGAAGAGTAATCCTCTCACTAGAAGGCCAGCACAGAATTGGGGGCAATCATACAACCTACCTCAAAGCCACTTTTATACTCTTCAAGATATATATATAATTTATTATGCTACATATATGCTCTCTCTCTCTCCTCTCTCTCTCTCTCTCTCTCTCTCTATATATATATATATATATATATATGTATTTTTTTTTTGTAGACAGGGTCTTGCTTTTCGCCCAGGCTGGAGTGCAGTGGCACCATCGTTGCTCACCGCTGCGCAGCCTCAACCTCCCTGGCTCAGGTGATCCTCCTGCCTTAGCCCCCTCAGTAGCCAGGACTATAGGCGCAAACCACCAACACCTGGCTCATTTTTTGGGGTATATTTTGTAGAGACTGGGTTTCACCATGTTGCCTAGGCTGGTCTTGAACTCCTGGGCTTAAGTGATCCACCTGCCTTCGCCTCCCAAAGTGCTAGGATTACAGGAATGAGCCACGGCGCCTGGGCATATTGTTTATATTTTTGAAGCTTTCTCCAGAGTCTGTATTGCATTTTGCTCTTAAAATGAGATCCCACGCTTGAATCCGGGAAGTGGAAGTTGCAGTGAGCCAAGATCGCGCCACTGCACTGCAGCCTGGGCAACAAGAATGAGACTCCATCTGAAAAAAAAAAAAAAGAAAAGAAATTCCATATCTCTAATTTGTTATTAGTGTAGCTGTTAATTTTAAAAATATGTATCTTGATTTTTAATTGTGGTAAAATACACAAATATAAAATTTACCGCCTTCACCATCTTTAAGTGTATGGTTTAGTGGCATTAAATGTGTTCACATTGTTGTGCTTTCATCATCACCATACATCCACAGATTACTTTTCATTTTGCAAAACTGAAACTTTACACCCATTAAAGAACCCTATTCTCCCCTCCCTACAGCCCAATCAACTACCATTCTACTTTCTGTCTGTATATTTGACTGCTCCAGGTGCCTCATATAAGTGTAATCATACAGTATTTACCCTTTTGTTACTGGCTTCTTTTACTCAGCATAATATCCTCAAGATTTATCCATGTTGTAACATGTCAGAATTTCTTCTTAAGGCTGACTAATTAATTCCATTGTTGTGTACACCACATTTTGTTTATCCATTTATCCATCAATGGACACTTAGGTCGCTTCTACCTTTGGACTGTGGTAAATAATGCTGCTGATGAACATGGGTGTACAGCTGTTGATTTTTAAATATTTGTCTTATGTATAGTCTCATTATTTGAATGTGGTGTTTTGGGGGGTTGATTGCTTTTATTTTTCACCTTTTGGGCTGTTTATTCTATTTTAATTTCTAATTCGTAAATGCCCATTAAAGACTATTTTGCTGACAATACAGCTTTCAAAATACCTCTACTATTTTGTCATCCAAGAATAAATATACTGAGCTATCTGATGGTTTGAGAGTCTAGAATGGAGAAGGCACACACTTTTTCCTTTTGGGGGGCCACTTGGCCTAAAAAGTATAGAACACTAAAGAGAGCCAGCGGCTCTCTTTAACCTCCCACTGCTTTCAGTTTTCTCCTGCATCCTGTATTGCTGCCCTCACACTATTTGGTTAAAAACATTCATCATTTTACTTTACTTTTTATTTTGTGTGTGTGTGTTTTTTTCTATTTAAAAACCTTTTGTTGGCTGGGTGCAGTGGCACACGCCTGTAATCCCAACACTTTGGGAGGCTGAGGTGGGCGGATCACCTCAGATCAGGAGTTCGAGACCAGCCTGTCCAACATGTTGAAACTCCATCTCCACTTAAAAAAAAAATACAAAAATACAAAAATGAGCCAGGTGTGGTGGCATGTGCCTGGAGTGCCAACTACGCTGGAGGCTGAGGCAGGAGAATTGCTTGAACCTGGGAGGCAGGGGCGGCTGTGAGCTGAGATCATGCCACTGCATTCCAGCCTGGGTGACAGCAAGACTCCGTCTCAAAAAAAAAAAAAAAAAAGCAACATTTTGTTGAGGAACAATTTATACACCATAGAATGCACAGATCTTAACTGTATATTTTTCCGTTTTGACAAATGCATACACCTGTGTAACCTATAAGCCTGTAAAGATATAGAACATTTTGCTCTTTCAAGCTCCTTTCCAGTCAATGCCTCCTCCCCACTGATCAGAAGCAACTAGTGCTCTGAGTTCTATCCCCATAGTTTAGTTCTTCCTGTTTTTAACCTTCATATGAATGGAATCAGACAGTAGGTACTCTGTTGTATTTAATTTCTTCATTCAAAATAATATCTTCTGGAAAAACTTTATTTGTTGCTCATACCAGCAGAGAATTCCTTTTTATTGCTGAGTCGCAGTCCATTGTATGAATATGCCACAATATGTTTATCCATTCTTCTGTTGTGGTCCTTTGAGTTGTTTCTAGTTATGGAATATTGTGAACAAATACGCTATGAACAGCTGCAGTGCAAGTCACCTACGGGGTGCTATTTTAACTGCTTTATCTGCTGCATCTCATTTACCCTCACAATTAAACTCTGTGGTTGATACTGTTGTTATCCTGATTTTATAACTGAGATTATTCCCATGTTAACCATTAATTTACACAGACGATTCAGCTATTCGGCGGGACAGATTTGAACCTAGGCAGTCAGACTCCACAGATCTTGCTAATAAATAGACGTTGTGTGATGTAAGATGTTTTGGTCAAATAACGTTTTTGGGCTTTAGAAGGCTGGAAATTTATGTAAGGAGTGTAACAAAGGTAAATCTATTTTGGTCTCTTTAGATTTCTTCGCAAGACTATGGAAAGGAAGTGGACCTCTACGCTTTGGGGCTAATTCTTGCTGAACTTCTTTATGTATGTGACACTGCTTCCGAAACATTACAGGTAAAATGATCTCAAAGAAAGAATTAAATAAGAAAAATTATTGACTACTACCTTCAGAGTGCTGCTGCAGACAGTTCTTGCTCTCACGTGAGGATGGGCTTGAGTATATTAGTATCTGACTGCAAATGAAATATGAATTTTCTGTCTTTCAAGGTTTGGCAAAGACCAAACACTTTGTTAAAAACCAGAAACTTTGATCTTCCCTGGAAGGTAGTACATCTCATAAGACTCGTAAGACTTGTCAGTCAGTAAAATTTTATTGATTGACTGCTTTGTGTTAGACACTGTGCTAAGTGCTATAAGGGTTGCAAAATACACAAGCCTTGGCTGGGCACAGTGGCTCACCCCTGTAATCCCAGCTTTGAGAGGCCAAGGCGGGCAGATCACTTGAAGTCAGGTGTTTGAGACAAGCCTGGCCAACGTGGTGAAATCCCATCTCTACTAAAAAATACAAAAATTAGCTGGGTGTGGTGGCGCACACCTGTAATCCCAACTACTCAGGGGGCTGAGGCAGGAGAATCGCTTGAACCCGGGAGGTGGAGGTTGCAGTGAGCCAAGATCACACCACTGCACTCCAGCCTGGGTGACAGAGTGACATTCCATCTCCAAATAAATAAATAAATAAATAAATAAAGCCTTGTTCTCAAGGAGCTTATTTTCTAAAAGGGAAGATAATATAAGAGAATGCCGTAAGCATTTTAGGAGAAGGCATGAAGTCTGTGGAAGCAGCTGGGAGGGAGATCTTTCCAGCTTTAAGGACTTAGGTTTCATGGAGACATCTAAGCTGGGCTCTGAAGGATCTGTTGGCTTCTCATAGTCCAAAACAGAAAGGGTGATTCTAGCATGGAGGTGGGAATGTATGGAGTGTATCTGGGGACAGCAGGCAGTGTAAGTTGTATTGGAATATATAAGTTACAAGGAAGTAGTAGCTGGTGAGACTAGAAAGATAGGTTGGGCTAACTTAAGGAAAAAATGTGGACTTTCTTGCTTAGGCAATGGGGAGTCACTAAAGGCAGTAGGCAACTAGATATCCTACTCTTTTTTTTTTTTTTTTTTTTTGAGATAGAGTTTCACTTTTATTGCCCAGGCTAGAATGCAATGGCACGATCTCGGCTCACTGTAACTTCTGCCTCCAAGGTTCAAGCAATTCTCCTGCCTCAGCCTCCCGGGTAACTGGGACTAAAGGCATGCACCACCATGCCTGGTTAATTTTCTTGTATTTAGTAGAGATGGGGTTTCACCATGTTGGTCAGGCTGGTCTCAAACTCCTGACCTCAAGTGATCCACCCACCTCGGCATCCCCAAGTGTTGGGATTACAGACGTGAGCCACTGCACCCAGCTGTATATCCTACTCTTAAGCTCAGGAAAGGGAACCTTCCTGGAGTCAATAACCTTATCCTCTGTGAAACAGTTAGAAGTACCTATCACTTAGGGCTCCAAAACGCATGAAGGTAGATGGTGAAGATGATGCACTTAACACTTCACGTCATAATGCAAGGATGGTTATTAAAGTGGGGGTAGGGTAGGGGACAGGGAATCCTGTATGCTTCTTGTCTAGAGACTTTCCCAAAAATCTGGAAATATCCTACATTTCAGGTGTCCTCAGCCTTTAGTTCTGTTTGTTTTTCCTAATATATACCTATCTTTTTTTTTTTTTTTTTCAGCTTTTTCAAGACCTACGGGGTGGCACCATCTCAGATGTGTATGATAAAAGAGAAGTAAGCACTTGAAAATCATCAGAATTTTATTTATTTCAGTGTTTTATTTCTTACTGTTGACTCTCACTGTCATTGCAGAAAACTCTTCTAAAGAAATTACTCTCAAAGAAACCTGAGGACCGACCTAACACATCTGAAATACTAAGCACCTTGACTACGTGGAAGAAAAGCCCAGAGAAAAAACGACATACATATTAGAGCCCTTCTGAAAAAGTATCCTGCTTCTGATATGCAATTTTCCTTAGATTATCTAAAATCTGCTAGGGAATATCAATAGATATTTACCTTTTAATGTTTCCTTTAATTTTTTTACTATTTTTACTAATCTTTCTGCAGAAACAGAAAGGTTTTCTTCTTTTTGCTTCAAAAATATTCTTACATTTTACTTTTTCCTGGCTCATCTCTTCATTCTTTTTTTTTTTTTTTTAAAGACAGAGTCTCGCTCTGTTGCCCAGGCTGGAATGCAATGATCCAATCTCGGCTCACTGCAACTTCTGCCTCTTGGGTTCAAGTGATTGCCTCAGCCTCCTGAGTAGCTGGATTACAGGCATGTGCCACCCACCCAACTAATTTTTATATTTTTAATAGAGACAGGGTTTCACCATGTTGGCCAGGCTGGTCTCAAACTCCTGACCTCAAGTAATCCACCTGCCTCAGCCTCCCAAAGTGCTGGGATTACAGGCATGAGCCACTGCGCCCAGCCTCATCTCTTTGTTATAAAGATGGAAAAAACGCCCCCAAATTTTCTTTTTATGCTATTAATGAATCAGTCAACTCATACCTATTTATTAAATTTCTACTGCTTTTAGGCCAAAAAAAATAAGATCGTTCTCTGCCTCACATAGCTTACAAGCCAGTCGGAGAAATATGGTACTCATAAACAAAAACAAAAAAAAGTGATGTACAACCACTTTGGAAAACAATTTGGCATTATCTAGTAAAGTTGAATCCATGTATACCCGTAAAACGGTCAATTCTGTTCCTACATACATGCTTACAAGAATGTCCATAAAACCCTATGTATAATAGCCAAAAGAACAGGGAACAACCATAATGCCCATCAAAAGAAGAATGGATTAAAAAATTTATATTCACACAAAGGGGTACCATATAGTATTGAAAACAATTGAATTACAGCTAAATGTAATAACGTAACACAATACAACTCTTGGGAACATAATGTTAAGCGAACAAAGCAGGTTTTCAGAAAATATATGCAGAATAATTCCATTTATATAACGTTCCAGAGCATGCAAAACTAAATCATTTTCTATATGAAACCCAACAAATGTGATGAGACAACAATGGGAAGGAAGAGAATGAGAAATACTTAATTCTGGATGGTGGTTGTCTTTCAGGGCGGGGAATTATGTGATTGGGGAAATGGACTTTCAAAGGTAACGGTAACTTCCTTAAACTGGATGGTAGGTCCACTAGTGTTTGCTGCATAGTTTTACATTTTATCTTAAATACATTTTTTATCTATTTTATCAACCGCTTTAAAGACAATTGTGCTGTAAGGCAGTGGCTAAAAACAGAAAATAGTCCATCGGGAAGGGTGAGATGGCTTTCTACTGAGCACAGGGCTAGAAGTGACAGCCCAGTGGGCCTTCCAAGTATATGCCAGGGTGTTAGATGAGTAGAGAGGAGACCACCCAGGAAGTCTGGACAAGGGGCCTGGTATGAGCTCTGGAGAAGAGATATTTGAGGAACACCGGGTATGCTAGTTTGTTGTCCTGAATTGCTGTAGAGAATGCTGAAAGATAATCTAAATTGCATCTTAGAAGACCCTGAAGGTTAATTTGAACTTAGGGCAGTTGTTTTAGTTTGTTTTCTTATTGCCATAAATGGATACTTGAGGCTGGATAATTTATAAGGAAAAGAGATTTCTATGACTTACGGTTCTGCAGGCTGTACGAGAAGCATGGCACCAGCATCTGCTTCTGCTCAGGCTGCTTCCACTCATGGAGGAAGGTGAAAGACAGCAGATGTGCAGAGATCATATAGCAAGAGAGGCAGCAAGAGAGTGAGGGAGAAGGGCCAGGCTCTTTTTTAACAACCAGCTCTTGAGGGAACTAATAGATTGAGAACTCCTTGCTTCCCCTCCCCAGCACACCCCACCCCCAGGACGGCATTAATCTATTAATGAGGGATCTTCCCCCATGACCCAAACACTTCCCATCAGGCCCCACCTCCAACATTGGGATCAAATTTCGACATGAAATTTTGGGGGACAAACATCCAAACTATAGCAGCAACCAACCACCATTCTAAAACTGCCATGTGAGTTTAGGATTTTAAAAAAGGGCCACATTTAGGTTAAACAAAAAGTGAAAATACAGTAAGAGAAAATACTTTCATAAAGGCTTTAAAAAGTGTTCATAAAAAGCAGTTCCTACATTTTTCATGTAAGATTCATCAATAGATGCTAAAACTATTGGATGAAAATCTGTTGTGGAATAGGAATCTTCACAAGGATTTAAATATAATCCTACAGAAGATATATCAGTTATACAGGGGAAAATGTACCTTTACAATGGTCACCACAATAACCAAGTGATTCAATTTAGCAGCACCCAAGGTGGAGCACCCTAACATTATGCCCCTCCTGATGTGATTTAAGAATTTTACTTATTTAGTTTTCTTGCACAAAGTGTTAAACTGGAATTTAAGCATGAGGAAATTATTAGACAAATCATGAATGTAGTCATTCTATAAGATGATTGACTTGGGCTTCTCAAAAAGTCAGTGTCATGAACAAAAAAAAAAAAAGAGAGAGAGAGAGACTTGTAAGATCTAATGACCAAATGCAATCAATGCTTGAATCTTCATTGTATCCTGGATATTCAAAGAGACAAAAGCTGGACACAGTAGCTCATGCCCGTTATCCTAGCATTTTGGGAAGTCAAAATGGGAGGATGGCTTGAGCACAGGATTTCGAGACTAGCCTGGGCAACACAGTGAGTTCTCATCTCTACAAAAAATCAGAAAAAATTAGCTGGGCATGGTAGCATGCATCTGTGGTCCCAGTTACTTGGGAGGGGTGGGAGGATCACGTGAGCCTAGGAGGTCAAGGCTGCAGTAAGCCATGATCATGCCACTGCATTGCAGCCTGGGTGACAGAGTGAGAGCCTATCTAAATAATAATTTTTAAAAATACAAAGAAAACAACAACCCAGCAAACAGCTATAAAGATATCTTTGGGACAATTGAGAACATTTGAATATAGACTGCGTATTGGTTAACAATGCCAAATAACTGTTTTCTCAGGTGTGATAATAGTATATGCAGAAAATGTTTTGTTTTGTTTGTTTGTTTGTTTCGAGACAGAGTCTGTCGCCCAGGCTAGAGTGCAGTGGCGCAATCTCGGCTCACTACAACCTCTGCCTCCCAGGTTCAAGTGATTCTCCTGCCTCTGCTTCCTGAGTTGCTGGGATTACAGGCACCTGCCACCACTTCAGGTTAATTTTTTTCTATTTTTAGTAGAGACGGTATTTCACCATGTTGACCCAGCTGGTTTTGAACTCCTGACCTCAGGTGATTCACTTGCCTTGGCCTCCCAAAGTGCTGGGATTACAGGCATGAGTCACCGTGCCTTTCCAAAAGTGTTTATTTTTAGGCAATGCATGCACAAATATTTAGAGGCCAAGTGTGTCATGATGTCTGCAACTTTCAATGTTCAGTAAAAATCAACATGGAGAGAGAAAGAGGACACACATGTGGCAAAATATTAGCCATTGAACAATTGGCAAATCTAGATGACAGTACACAGGTGTTTTTGTATTATTCTTTGAACTTTTCTGTAGATTTGAAAATGTTCTGCGCAGAGAGAAATCTTTTTTTTTTTTTTAAATCAGGTTTTAATGAGGCTATATTCAAAAGAAACACTAAATGATGTGGCCAGTTAGTGAGAATGTAGCCTTATCTTTACCTGACCTCATTTTAATATTCCTACTCTGGCTGGGCATGGTGGCTCATGCCTATAATCCCAGCACTCTGGGAGGCCGAGACGGGTGGATCACCTGAGGTCAGGAGTTTGAGACCAACCTGGCCAACATGGTGAAACCCCCTCTCTACTAAAAATACAAAAATTAGCTGGGTGTGGTGGCGGGTGCCTGTAATCCCAGCTACTCGGGAGGCTGTGGCAGGAGAATCGCTTGAACCCAGGAGGCGGAGGTTGCAGTGAGCCGAGATCGTGCCACTGCACTCCAGCCTGGGTGACAAGAGTGAAACTCAGCCTCAAAAAAAAAAAAAAAAAAAAAGATATATATATTCTACTCCTATGAAATGAATATAGCATTTCTTAGCAACTTCTATTTATCTGTGAGTATATATTTTCTTGGCCTCAAAATTAAAGTAAAAAAGTATCCTCTTACTCAGGAGGACAGGGGCAAGAGCCTGGGACCTTATTTGGTAATTAAAATGCACACATACACACACACACACACACACACACACACACAGAAATTTTGAGAGCCATTTTAATATAATTGCCTTATTAGAAACATACCTTTTACGGAATGTTTGTCACTAAACCACATATTATTTAAATATGTACATGTTTAACATAAATACATACATAAAATTCACATGCATACTTAACACTTATGTTAAATATATTCACTGTATGTATATATGTACACAATATATGCACATATATGTGTGGATATATGGTATGTGTGCATGTGTGTGTATGGCCAGCTACATGATTTGTGGGACTAAGGGCAAAATGAAACTGTAGGGCCCTCATTCAAAAATTAGGTGTGGGATGCTTCTAAGCACAGTCTTGTGTAATTGCACAGGTTGCATGTCCATGAAGCCATCCTGTGTGTGTACATATATGTGTGTGTGAATATATATTTTATATAATACGTATATATGCATGTATGTATCTGAGAAGAAATGTTTAAAAGACTACATATAAGCTCTTCCAGGTCTCTACTATCTGTTAACTAACTAGAGACATAACTCACAACATCCATTGCCCACTGAGTGTTCACCATAATTTGAGATTCTTGGCATGTTAACTTTTCATTACGGAATATTGAATAATTTCAATATGATTCATACTTATTTAAATTTTTTTATGTTCAAACATACACAAAAATAGAATAATGAAACTCTACCCATCACCCAACTTCAACAAATGTCAATACTTTACCTTTCTTAATACATCTAACCCCTTACTTTTTGTTTGTTTCTTTTGGTAAAGTATTTAATTGTAATTTTTTAAAAAAAGAAACAGGATCTCACTCTGTCACCCAGGCTAGAATACAGTGGCATGATCACAGCTCCTTGTAACCTCGAACTCCTAGACTCAAGTGATCCTCCTGCTTCAGCGGCTTAAGTAGCTGGGACTACATGCATACACCACACACCCAACTAATTTTTAAATTTTTTGTGGAGATAGGGTCTTGCCATGTTTCCCAGGCTGGTCTCAAACTCTTGGCCTTGAGCGATGCTCCTGCCTTGGTCTTCCAAACTGCTGGCCCTACTGGAATATTTTAAAGTAAAGCTCAGGTGTTACATCATTGCACTTGTAAGTACTTCAAAATGTATCTCTAGCAGATAAAGTCTTTTTTAACAAAACCACAGCATCATTGTCACACTCAAAAAATCCACAAGATTTCCTTGATTATCATATAATGGTCTGTATTGTTTCTATCTCAAAAATACAATTTTCTTTGTTGTTGAAATATAGATCCAACGTTGCATTTGGTTGATATGTCTCCTTTACTCTGTAACATTTACCCCTGCGTTTTAGTTCTTCCTGGCTTTTATTTGTCCTGTGGAATTTCCTCCATTCAAGATTTGACTGATGGTATCCCCATAGTGTCCAGTTAGACCTAGAAGCTGGATTTGATCCTGGTTCATTTATTTTCTCCCAAGAATACTCCATAGGTGATGCTATATACTTTCTCTTGCATCATTTCAGGAGGAACATGATGTCTGATTGTTCCACTTTCAGTGACTTTAATATTGATCAATGGGTTCTGGTGGTACCACCTACTACAAAGTTTCTCATCAGTCCTTCACCTGATGGTTTTAGCAGCTATTAATGATTGTTGCCTGGATCCATTATTTCATTTCAGGGGTTGTAAAATAGTGTTTTTCTGGTTCTGTCAAACCTCTTGCATTTATCAGCTATGATTCTTTAAGGAACTTTCTCTAAATCTGAATGGGAAAGATGGGATAAATATTTACAATTTTTAGAGTGAGTTAGTGCCCTAGCAACCTCCAAAGTTGACAAATGAGTATTTCTTTAAATCAAGGTATGGCCCAACCAATACTTTGAAACCAGCATGTTTAGAATGGAGCAGGAAGAAACTACATTTGAAAGGTCAGAAAGTGGAAAGACTAAGAGGGCCTGAACAATAAGAGGACAGAACCAAGAGGAGTTGGCAACTAACTGGATGTGGGGATTAAGGAAAGGTAAGCATCAAAGATTACCTCCAAGTTTGTTAGAAGGTGAGTAGCAGGATTCTGATGCCATTAAAGTAAATACAGGTCTCAGTCAAATGAACCCCAAGTGAAGGGGTGGCCTGCCCCTCCACACCTGTGGGTGTTTCTTGTTAGGTGGAACGAGAGACTCAAGAAAAGAAATGAGACACAAAGTATAGAGAAAGAAAAAGTGGGCCCAGGGGACTGGCACTCAGCATACAGAGGACCCACACTGGCACCGATCTCTGAGTTCCCTCGGTATTTATTGGTAATTATCTTTACCATCTTAGAAAAGGGAAGTGGCAGGATAATAGGATCATCGTAGGGAGAAGGTCAACAGTAAGACATATGAATAAAGATCTCTGTGACGTAAGTTTAAGGAAAAGTGCTGTGCCTTGATATGCATATGTAAACATTTCTATAAACCTTTTTAGTGCATAAAGAGCAGCATTGCGCTAGCAAGTCCCACCTTCAGCCCTAAGGCGGTTTTCTCCTTTCTCAGTAAACAGAACATACAATCGGGTTTTACACCAAGATGTTCCACTGCCCAGGGATGGTCAGGAGACAGATGTTTTTCTCTATCTCAACTGCCAAGAGGCCTTCTTTCCTCTTACACTAGTCCTCCTCAGCACAGACCCTTCACAGGTGTCAGGCTGGGGGATGATCAGGTCTTTCCCTTCCCACGAGGCCATATTTCAGACCATCACATGGGAGAAACCTTGGAACGATACCTAGCTTTCCTAGGCAGAGGTCCCTGCAACCTTTGGCATTGTACATGTCCCTGGGTACTTGAGATTAAGAGAATGGTGATGACTTTTCACAAGCATACTGCCTTCAGGCACTTGTTTAACAAAGCATACCCTGCACAGCCCCAAATCCTTTAAACCTTGAGTCACCACAGCACGTCTCTTGCAAGGACAAGGTTGGGGGTAGGGTCACAGATTAACAGCATCTCAAATACAGAACAAAATGGAGTCTCTTATGTCTACTTCTTTCTATATAGACACAGTAACAGTCTGATCTTTCTTTTCCCCACACCAAGAGCCACATGTATTTGTGGGGTAGTTTATTTGTCTCACGCTTTTACCTGTTACATGATTTTCAGTAATTTAGAACTTAAGCGAGTAGTGGGGCCACTGTATATCTATCAACATGGTGAGGTAGAGCACGTTTGGGAGGGAAGACGTTGAATCCCATTTGGTGATGGTGAGCTTGAGGTGCTGCCAGAAAATTGCACGGAAGATAGGAGGAGACTGTAGAAAATGCAAGATGGGAAAGGTCTCCACTTACATGTTAACTGTTTCTCTCTAAATGGCCATCCAGGCCTCAATGTCTACAGTTCTTGATCTGTGATTATGACATATCCAAATCTTACGTTTCTTAAAAATAGTCATAGATGAAGGGATCACAGTTGATAGAGGTATGGTGACGTTATTGGCTTAAATTCTAAATCACTAGAAACTCTGTAATAGGCAAAACAGTGAGGCAAATAAAATGCTTCTCAAATATGCATGGCTCTTACGGGGTTAATTTGATTTGGACATGTATTAATTTCTTATCGCTGCTATAACTAACAAATTACCACAAACTTGGTGGCGTAAAACAACACACATTTATTCTCTTTCTGTTTTGGAGGCCAGAAGTCTAAAATGAGATTCCCTGGGCTGCAGTTCACTGGGCAAGGCCATGCTCCTCTGGAGGCTTCCGTGATGCTTCCCATATTCAGTGTTTCCTGAGGAAGCCCCTCCCATGCAGGTCTGCAGTTTTACCTTAACAGGCTTTTGCACTCAGTGGCTCTCTTCTGTGGTTTCTTATCTGAAATTCTCTTCATTTTTTTAAAATAACAGCTTTATTGGGATATAATTCATATGCCATACAATTCACGCATACAGTATACAATTCAGTAGTGTTTACTATATTCAGAGTTGTGCAACCATCACTTTTCTCACCCCCAAAAGAAACCCTATGCCCATTAGTATTCACTCCATTTTTTCACAACTCTAGGTAACCACTAATCTACTCTCCATCTCTATAGATTTGCCCATGCTAGACATTTCATATAAATAGAATCATACATGTGGTCTTTTTCACTGAGTATAATGTTTTCAAGGTACATCCCAGCTGTGGCATGAATCAGCATCTCATTCCTTTTTATTGCCAAATAATATTCTATCATATGGATATGTCACATTTTATGTATCCATTCATCAGCTGATGGACATTTGGGTTGATTCTACTTTTTGGCTACTATGAATAATGCTACTGTGAACTTTTGTGTACAAATCTTACGTGGACATGTTTTCATTTCTCTTGGATGTATATTCCTAGGAGAATGGCTGGATCATAGGTAACTCTTTCCTCATAACTTTGCATATCAAAATTATATCCAACTTTTTAGAAGCCAAATTCAGTGTTATTTCCAAAGTGTTTAAACATCTACTCAAAATGAATCTTCTCCCTAGTACTCCCATTGTTTAGTACCTAATTGTTCTTACCAGTTTGTCTTAGAGCTCAGTGATTCATACATAGCACTTTTCTTCATTATACTGCTAATTTCATTATATTGGAAGAATGGGGACAAGCTGTCACTCTTGTATACCACAAAGCAGTGAGTGCACTGCTATGAAGAAAGCAGGAACTCAAAGTTAAGAATTTTGAATGCTTGAGCCTGTAAAATGTGTCTAATAAATAATAATGTTCATTTTCAAATTTCAACAATTAAATGTTTAACAAATAACACTTGAAATAAATGTTTGTTAGAGAAACCAATTTGGTATGTTAAAGTATTTATTTTGAATTTCAGAAACTACAGTATTCTGGATTTTTAATTAAGAAAATAAGACACTTTAGAATTTCTAGATAGGACTTTGAAAATAAACAGCACAATATACACAAAAGTAAATGACAACATGACATTAAATTTTACATTGTTTTGCAGTTTCAAATTTCATATGAATGTTCTACAACAAATTTTAAAATTATTTTCAATGTTTTGCTTCCCTCGGTGCTCATTATTGCCTATTTATAAAGTCATAAAAGGCCTAAAAATAAGTTTTTACTCATACTGAAAGCCTGATTTTTTTTTTCTCCTTAAGATGGCGGTCTCTCACTGTGTTGCCCAGGCTGGTTTCAAACTCCTGGGCTCAAAGGATTCCCCACCTCAGGCCCCTGAGTAGCTGGGACCAAAGGCATGCACCACCACACCTGGCTGAAAGCCTGTACTTTTATCCTTCGATGGACAAGAATGGAGGGATATCTCCCACTCTCTAAGCTGGTCTAGTTCCAGTCCTAGGCCTGTAAATGTAGACCACAATCCTGGTGAGGTCATGGGTTCCATCAGTGTTATTCTGGCATTTGCAGCATAATTGTCATGAACATATTTAAAATATTTTAGGCCACTGAGCAGGTGTGGGTTGTCCTCATAGTAAGAGGAGAAAGGGAAGCCGGTTCCTGTCTAACTCCATTCCATCTGAAATTATCCATTTGGCTTTGGGATTTGACTGAATGTTGTTATGTTGGCTGAAATGACACCAAAGTATTGACTGTAATTGCAAGGGTAAAATGTACTCCTCTGTTTTATTAATAGCTACTAATAAAATTAAATTATATATATATATATTTTTTTTTTTTGAGACAGGGTCTTGCTCTGTCACCCAGGCTGGAGTGCAGTAGCATGATCTCAGCTCACTGCAACCTCTGCCTCCCAGGTTCAGGCAATTCTCATGCCTCAGCCTTCTGAGTAGCTGGGATTATAGGCGTGCGCCACCATGCCCAGCTAATTTTTGTATTTTTAGTAGAGAGGGATTTCACCATGTTGGCCAGGTTGGTCTTGAACTCCTGGCTTCAAGCGATCTGCCTGCCTTGGCCTCCTAAAGTGCTGGGATTACAGGAGTGAGCCACTGCGCTCAGCCAATTTTATAATTTTTTTAAAACAAAAAAGTAAATATTAAACAATAGCATCCAACCATATAAACTTAAAATATTTTTTATATATATATATATTTACATTCATAAAAATAATTAGTTTTCTGGAGGAAGAACTGAGGCCCAGAAGTTAACTAGATTAGTGGTTCAAGCTAGGCTGCATTTTAGAATCAAGGACAGTGATGCCCAAGTCACAGTAACTAATGGCATCAGAATCTCTTGGGATGGGACCCTTTTATTATTATTTTGTAAAGCTCCCCAAGTTAAGCTTGAAAAGTAAATTAGGTAATATTAAGTCAGAGATTAATACAAGTTGTACTAAGAGATTAATACAAGTTGTACTACTGATTATCTTACCCTAGCAAGTGTAGGTTAGTTTTTGCGATCTTCTTATGTATGCTGTTTCTAATAAAAGGGGTTGTTCTCTTGCTCAATCCAACTAAAAGGTGAGCTATAAAATCACACAGGTGATCACAACTCTATCCAAAGAATGGTGGCGCTCTATACTTAACCTCAGCGCTAGTCCTTATCCTCAGGTGCTCATCACTCATTCTTGGGACTTCAAAATAAATACAGATATCCAGAACCACCTGAGACTAGATGAATCAAAATCAATCACTAGGAGAGACGCCTGAGCATATGAACTTTTAAAAAGGTTCATGATTTTGATGCCTCACCCTGGATGGAGCTCTCTCATAGTATATGCCACATGGTATGTCCTTAGCTGTATTCAGTAAAATTACAGGGAAGGAGATTTCAGTTTAAGAGAAAACAAAACAATTTAGAGCTACCCAGTAATGGAATGGTTTTAAAGCAGTGAGCTCTCTGTGGCTGGAAGAATAAAGGCAAAGGTTGAACTATCACTTGCTGGGAATGCTATCAAGGGGTTTCCAAATTCAGTAAGTACTTGGATCACACGATATTTGAGTTTCCTCACAATTCTTAAGTTTCTCTAGCCAAAACTTCCAACAGATCACATATAATGGATATAGACATTGTCATGAAAACTCATGATTTTACCAGAAATTATCACAGTTATTTTGTTTGTAAAATGGATTAGAATTTAGTAGTACTGGTGGAACATTGCCTCTGACATCAGCCTTATTGAGGGGAATACTTTTCCCCTCCTCTTCATGCTTGGATGGAGGGAAGGGAAATTCTCCTTGCTCTTTCAAAGCAAGAAGTGTAGGAAAAAGCTCTCTGAATCCTCATTCATTCCTTCCCAACAGAGAACTGTCTCATCCCACAGGTGATACAAGAAGGAACTAAGCATGTGTGGTCCAGTCCCTGGTGGTTTCCCTGACCTTGAAAACTAACTGGTCTCAGAATGCAAAGATGGGCTCTGCCCCAACAAGACAGAGACCTGCTGTTCTCTCCAATCAGGGAGAAATTAATAGAGTGTTCAACTGGAGAAAAAGTCAACCTTCTTCTCTATTTCAGTTTATTCACTGATAAAGTGGATATTTTTCTCTTCCTCTGACTCCCATTTCTTATCTCTCAATTTGTTCCAAAGTGAAGAGGGGAATAAGATAGTTACCTGTTGGTGTCCTTAAACCCCTCATGTATCACAATACAGCAATAAATTGTAACTGTCCATCTCTATGATACTTGTGTTCTGAAATGCCATTGCATTATTTTTTTCAAGTCAGTGAACACTCATAAAGTACGAAAAGAACAAAACATTATATAAAGTCCCTCTTTCTTTACTGGCATAAAAAATTTTGGATTTCCAGCTGCTGAATTGTCCATCCCTAGGAAATAATAACACTTTTCGAGTTTCTACTTTATTGGGGATAATCTTAATCATGATCTGCAGAAGTTGGTCCTGGACAATTTGAAGATAGGTCTTCTTTATCTGTAAGTTATGTGAGGGAAATGAAAGATTAATACACCTTCTCCAGTAAACTATTCTAGAATATTATTTAAACATAACATGCATTTTTTGATCTGATGTTTTCTACTTATTCTGCTAAACAAACCAGAAAAGATAAAAACAACAATAACCAAAAATACTTCACTCTCAAGTACAAAGTTCTTAAATACAAGTTAGCAAAGGTAGCTGGGGAAAAGGTGTTAGAAGGAGAAACACTTGGCTCTGTAAGACACCTAGTAAGTGTAAACCATTTCTATCCTTACAATGGGAAAAAAAAAAAAAAAGGAATGGATTTCAACATATCTGATTTCTATGGTTTAGGGGTAATATTCTATCTAACTATATAAACATTAGCTCTTAAAAATTTAATATAAATTCTTTCGAATATCTGTAGCCAAAGAAAGAATCTTTAAAAATAAAGCACAAAACATTCATCATCCTCAGGTTATTCTAAAATTATTTCTTTTGAAACAAAACACTGAAAAATTCCCTTTCACACATCCAGTTTAAAAGTTAAATGCAATTCTCATAAAGCCTCAATTATTTCTATATCCACTATTTAAGACATTGGTCCCATATTGCCATTTGAATGGAATAAGAAATCTCCATTGTCAGTGGGGGAATGACTTTAACTAAAAATTGGAGAGTATTCATCTATTTTTAAAAAGTATAAAGCATTTTCTTACCTTCATAGGCTGTTCCACACCAAATACAATACAGATGTTCTTCTCTTAAATAACTAGTCAATATTTGTAATTTTTCCAGTACCTAGATATAGGATACAAGCACATTAATACTTTACATTGAACAGAACCTTGGTTTTCTGGCTCTTAGATCATGCTGAATTAGCTCAAGGCTGTAAATATTCTGCTATACTCTGGAATAGTTATTAGAAACGTCAAGGGCAGAACTGATATATTTGAATGTGTTCCAGTTCATTAGCCACCCTGAGATTTTCACAAGTCTGCCAGACACAATAGAGACTGCTTGTTAACATTGAGAAAATAGTTTTTGGATGGCCTTATTATAATCAGCATCCTTTAAAGGCTTTTTCTACTTTCAAGGCATCTACCTCCCCCAGATAAGGTGAAGGTGAATATTGCCTCCTTTTGCCACAAAAGTTCTCATCAGTGGTCTCCCAATTAAGTGGAATATAGATTTTTCAAATTGTGAATGTTTTCTACAAAATTATTACACTCAAGTAACCATAGGGGTGTATTTTCCTTTCTTGAATAATCTCCATTTCCTTTTTTTTTTTTTTTTTTTTTTTTTTGAGACAGGGTCTCGCCCTATCACCTAGGCTGGAGTGCAGTGGCATCATCTCGGCTCACTGCAACCTCTGCCTCCCGGGCTCAAGTGATCCTCCTGCCTCAGCCTCCCAAGTAGCTGGGATTATTGGGTGCCCCACACCTGGCTAATTTTTATATTTTTAGTAGAGACTAAAATACACCACCATGTTGGCCAGGCTGGTCTTGAACTCCTGACCTCAACTGATCCACCAGTCTTGGTCTCCCAAAGTGTTTGCATTACAGGTGTGAGCTACCACACCCAGCCTCCATTTCCTTTTGATTGTGTTTTTTTGTTGTTTATGAGTAGGAGAAAAAAAGTACACATTAGAATCACTTGTAGAAGTTTTGCAGGAAATAAGGTATAAATTAAAATAATTTACATTTGTTGCTAATTCATCATCTGAACTGTAGCTGAGATGAGAGGACAAATGGAAGCTAAAGGGAAAAATTATATGTAAGTTTTCATTTGGGGTTAGTAAAATAATCCTGCAATGCAGTACCTCTCAACCAGGGGTTATTTTTCCCCTCTGGGACATTTAGTAATGTCTGGAGAGGGTTTTGGTTGTCATAAGCAAAAGTGCAACTGGTATCTGGTGGGCAGAGGCCAGAGATGCTGCTAAACATCTTGCGAAAAACAGGACAGCTCCCCACAACAGTGGATTACCACAACTCAAAGTGTTAAT